CCTTTTTTCACTGTCTTGTTTGTACACAGCGACGCTGCACTGCTTTGACAATACAAATGTACAGTTATTTGTCATGCCAAAAAAGCTCCTAAAATGTGTAATGTGTGTGAGAGAGAGAAAGAGAGAGCAGAAATATTATAAAGTGAAAAACATGGGAGAAATGTATAAATAAGTCATGACTGCAACAGTAAGTGGCAAAAAAGCGAAACAAAACAGACTTTTATTTTGTCGTGACGTGTGACGTCATCAGGCGGCGCCGCTTCAGCGCTGTGATTCAACTGGAGAAAGGTTTGTGTTTTTAAACGTTTACGGATATAACCCGATTTAATTAAAGTTTCAGATTTTTTTTATCCGATGCTAAATTATGTACCTGCTTTGGACAATAATATTTAAGCCCTTTATACAACGTAGTACTATTTTATTCTCAGTAGCAGAGGGCTATTGTTTGAAACCGAAAAGAGTGTAATAGTGTTTTAAAGCAGGGTTTCTCAAACTTTTCTGATAAGAGTTAAAGTTGGTTTTATATTCACACATTCGTTTATTTAGCAGTCTATATATTGTTTACCATGTTACTTTAAATATTTGATCGGAATTAGCATGCAAGTGTGACTTGAAAACAACATTAACACTGTTTATTTGACTGTGAACAATGTTGTACTTTATAGTTACTTTAAGTTATACTTCAATGAAATTATATCATTAAGGGGAAAGTCCGAATGTGCGAATATAAAACCGATTTTACCTCTATTTTTAAAAAAATGTTTTACCTGATTTCTTTTTTTGATAATTAAAAGAAACTGTTTAAGCAAGTGTTAAGATAAGTTATTTTGTATCTGTTCATTGTTTAATTTATTTTAAACGGGACATTTTTATTGTTTTGTTAATTTTAAACAGGATAAAGTGTCCAAACTCAGAGAAAAACTCCTGCTGAATCGACTGATCTCCACACTGTTATAAAGATGGCGTTTATTAAAGAGGAGAGTGAAGATGTGAAGATTGAAGAAACATTCACAGTCAAACAGGAAGATCTGCAGGAACAAAAAGGTTGACTTTTATTCTCAAAGACCGACGCAGTCATTTGATCCTCATTCAGATATATTTTAATAATAAGAATACTAAATTAAATCCATCTTGCAGCCCTGAGTGTGCTGCCTAGTTCTCATAAATGCACATAAGCACTCATTAAAAGACAGAATGAGTTTCTTTCTTCACTTGTTCTCATGTCTTTTGTCTTTTATGTGTTTTTAGTCTCCCATTTTCTCTACCTTCTTAAGGTTATTGCTTTTCTTGTTCTTTTACTGTTTGTAAAGCATCCTTAGTGCTTTATAAAATAAATAAAAACAATAAATTAATAAAAGGTTTAACTAAGCTGACGATATTTGACCTACAGTATTCTCATAAAAGACTTAACATTTTAGGCCTTAAAAAGTCTTAAATTTACTGAAATGTTGTGCTGTATTGTGTATCTTTTAGTCTTTATTTTTTAAGTATATTTTTATTTTAAGTCTTTATTTTCTTTTGTTTATGTTTTTCTACCCAATCTGGCCAAAACCTATTCAATCACCAACAATTCAACTTAATAAAACTTTCAACTTTTTATTCAAAAAGGTCATTTTAACTCTATTTATCATAATGGTTTAATTATTTTACTCACAATAACATTTGTTTAAACGTGCTCCATGTATTTACTGCTGTGGATATCAACCTGGACAGATTGTTGTGCATAGATTTAGTTTGTTATAGTTTTTAAAACTTTAAAAACATTTGTTCATTTTTTAGTTTTAAAAATAAATTTTATTTTGATGGGGCAAATAAAAATCTTTTCTATCTGGGCCATTTGAAAAGTTCTGTAGCCTTTAGCCCTTTATGAGTCTAAAATTTCATTCATAATGGTCTTAAAAATATCATAAAGTCTTAAATTTAACTTTGTAAAACCTGCAGAAACCCTATTTTACAGTATGTCAAAAATGTGGATGCCCCCAATATTGAGCATCCTGAAAGAAATGGACACTAGAATAATTAATTGTTATAAAATATTTTACAGTCGCAGAATATAGACCATATTCATCATGCACCAACAGGCGGCGCCATTGGAATCTTTTTGCTTGAGACTTTTTTAAAGAATAAATTTTTAGATCCTAAATATCAGTTTAATGCTGCTGAGGCATGGGGCAATAACTATATTCAAGGTTTACCGCAGTTTGGAAAAGTCAAGGTTTTAAAATCGCCAACATTTCCTGCTGCACCGTTCCTACAGTATATGTAAGTTTTTTTTTTTAATGTTTTGTTTTTTAGGACAACAGTATCTCCTGCAGTAAAGACCAAAGAGGCTGTTTTCAATCGTAAAGAAATCTGTGATTCATTTCAATTATTTAGCCTGACATGTTTACTGCTCAAAAATATTTTAAAAGTGTCTCAGAAGAAAATATATTTTAGGATATCATACTGTCAGAATCTTATACTGGCCCATGCCTAATGCTGCTTGATGTCGCAAAGTCATATTTTCTCATTTAATTATTTTTATTTGTTTGTATATTTGTATATTTGTATATTTGTCATGAACACACCTGTTTGTAGAGCAAGTAGTTTGACTGTTTTCGGCAGTTTATTATTTCTGGTCAAAATAATACCAAAATCCACATCGTAAAAAAAATAGAAAAAGAATAATAATTATAATTAAAGAGCAAATCAAAAAGAGTATAGGCTACATTAATATTTGCAAAGGAAAAGAGTTGTTTGAGTATATTTAAAGTTGTGGTTGCTTTTTATCTTAAACGTCCTTTAAGGGTTCTTTCTGACTATTTTTGTGTATGTAAATACCTAATTAAGTTAAAAGATTTAACATAAAATAGTTCTATTTTTTTATATTGTCTATTTATATGAACTAATATTTTGTATAACACATTTTCATTATTTAACAGATTTAATACTTCTATTAATCAAATGTGTGTGAGTGTGTGTGTGTGTGTGTGTGTGTGTGTGTGTATGTATGTGTGTATGTGTGTGTGTGTGTGTGTGTTAATTTGGGTGTTTATCCAAGGATCAAGTTTATGTAAGGATCGAGTTTATATGTCTGTGTATGTGGGTGTATGCATGCAGTAGGTTTATATATGTGCAAGTGTCATACTTGTTTTGAACATAGTATATGTTTATATGCGAGAAATTTATAGTTGTATATTCAAGTGTAGACATGCAAAACCCTACATTGTGCCTCATAGCCATCTGTGTTTGGTATCGGGAAGGTGGATGGTGAGGCGACAGGTTGACTTAAACTTTTATGAACCTATTTGATGTGTTTCCGATGCTAGTCGGCATCGCTCTCCCGCAGTTTGCAGAGCGCCGAAACAAAAGGTTTATCGGAACTTAAAAAGCCGAATAACGTCCACATCAACTACTTTGTCTGGATTCTTACTTGTGGAAGCTTGTTCCTCTATATCTGTATTCAGGTCAAAATATCGTATAATATAACAAAATATCGTAAATGGGTTTAAAAATCATATCACCGCTATTGAAAAAAAATCTATTGTGATATATTGATATTATATAATTGTCCAGCCCTACGTTAGATATAGAGAACAAGATGAATTAAATATCACTTTTAGCAAATATAGTGAGATTAGATCCAGCGTAACTCGTAACATCAAAAAAGAAAAAACATTTATAAATTAACCCACTTCTCATTTACTAGTCTGTTATGAGCCATATCATACCTCTTGAGCCTCCGATCTCCTCCTGATTTGCAGTTTCTGTTTGTTTTTTGAAAATGTAATTGTCTTCAAATCTGAAAATATAATTTATTTTATAGTGTGAGTTGTTATTCGATGTGATACGAAGCTGCAAGCATGTTCTTTTGGACAGAATTTTTAACTAAGGTGTAATGTTGTCCGGATACTGGAATTTCTAACTTCATTACCTTGCTATATATTGATGTTCAATAGGCTACTATTTTTTAATGTAACAACAATTGTATCAAAAATGGTACAAAAAATTATTTCTTAAGAAGAAAATGATTTTTTTTTCAGTTTTCCTCAAAATAGGTTTATGTGGGCATTGTAGCACTTTAAATGCATGTAATGCCTGTTTCATTTAAACTTGAGCAGAAATTCCATATATGCCTCACAAAAGTAGCAGAACATTCCAGGAAATCCCTAATATGGATGAAGGCATCCAGCTATTGCTGTTGGATGAAAATAAGATCTGAGTAAATATTAAAAGGCTTCAACTGATCATTTACACGACTGCGCCCATAAATGGTTTACATGTGTACTTCCAGCCATCTTAGGTATATTTATAAGAAAGTCGATTTATAATTTATTGCTAACTGACGTAGCATGTTACAGTAGAATATAGCTATAAAATAATATGCTAGATGCATAGATGCTAGATTATGTCAAAATAAGATGTTTCCAAATATCAATCCGTTTTCTAAAACACAAAGTTTTGACCAAATTAATCCACAAAATCAACCCAGAATGGATGAAAATGACCCAACAGCACACAAGGGGAAAGGTGCATATTTCAGTCTTTATGCAGATGCTGTACAGGTATGTCTCATGTTTGCGAGACAAATATTCAGCTGTTTGTTCAACTGTTACCTCAGAACTTTTTTTTTTTCCAATGCGTTTACCAGTCAGGCACAGAATGAATAAGTATTCCCTGTCTGCTTAACAAATTTTAGAAAAACATTTTGTTGTAATTCTGAATATATACAAATAAAAATAGGCCACTTACATTCAAATCTGTGTCTTATCAATATGACCAAAATGACTTTTAAGAGAAACTCTGAAAACTGGACTGACACAGTTTCAATTTACTAGAACTTCTAAGTTAAGTGGCTTCAGCACAATTGAAATTGTAAAAGCAATAGATGAAGATGAATTGAATCTGCTTAAATGTGTACACGTTAATGGACTGAACAAAATATGATCTGATTTATTTTACATTTAATGTGCATCAAAATTACAGTGTGTAGCCAATATTTCCTGTGTCTTTTCACCTTTACGCTTTTGATAAGATTTTTAAGACTTAATGAAAACTGTTTTTTTTTTTTTTTTTTTTTTTTTAGAGCTAATTGAAGAGAATGAGGGGAGTAAAGAAGAGGAACATGATGTCAAAATTGAGGAAAAAACTAATTTACAGACCAATGGTATTTTGAAAAAAAGAGACGAAAATCGTTTCACCTGCACTCAATGTGGAAGGAATTTTGGAAGAAAAGGCGATCTTACGATTCACATGAGGATCCACACTGGAGAGAAACTGGTCACATGCACTCAGTGTGGGAAGAGTTTCAGCAAATCATCATCCCTTAATCAACACATGAGGATCCACGCTGGAGAGAAACCATCCGCATGCTCCCAGTGTGGGAAGAGTTTCAGTTGCTCATCTCACCTTAATAAACACATGAGGAACCACACTGGAGAGAAACCATTCTCATGCACTCAGTGTGGGAAGAGTTTCAGCTACTCATCATCCCTTAATTACCACATGATGATCCACGCTGGAGAGAAACCATCCGCATGCTCCCAGTGTGGGAAGAGTTTCAGTTGCTCATCTCACCTTAATAAACACATGATGATCCACACTGGAGAGAAACCATTCACATGCACTCAGTGTGGGAAGAGTTTCAGAAACTCATCATCTCTTAATCACCACATAAGGATCCACACTGGAGAGAAACCATTCACATGCACTCAGTGTGGGAAGAGTTTCAGCCAATCATCATCTCTTAATCACCACATAAGGATCCACACTGGAGAGAAACCATTCACATGCACTCAGTGTGGGAAGAGTTTCATACAATCATCACAACTTAATCTACACATGAGGATCCACACTGGAGAGAAACCATTCACATGCACTCAGTGTGGGAAGAGTTTCAGTCGCTCATCTCTCCTTAATCACCACATGAGGATCCACACTGGAGAAAAACCATTCTCATGCACTCAGTGTGGGAAGAGTTTGAGACGCTCATCATCTCTTAAACAACATATGAGGATCCACACTGGAGAGAAACCATTCACATGCACTCAGTGTGGGAAGAGTTTCAGACGCTCATCTCACCTTAATCACCACATGAGGATCCACACTGGAGAAAAACCATTCTCATGCACTCAGTGTGGGAAGAATTTCAGCAAATCATCATCCCTTAATCACCACATGAGGATCCACACTGGGGAGAAACCATTCACTTGCACTTAAGCTGCGGTCACACTGGACTTTTATGCCCATTGACTTCCACACTGGAGAGAAACCATTCACATGTACTCGGTGTGGGAAAAGCTTAAACCAATCAGAAAACCTTAATAAACACATGAAGGTCCACTCTGGTGTGAAAGAGTATATGTGCTTTGAGTGTGAGAAGACTTTTATATCAGCTCCAAAAACTGCACCAAGCGATTCACACTGGAGAGACCGTACAATTGTTCAAACTGTGACAAGAGGTTTAATCAGTTAACACATCTGAAAACACAAAAGAGGATTCACACTGGAGAGAAACGTACAGATCTGATCAGTGTCTACAGAGTTTCGCTCATTCGCAGCAGCTTAAAAAACACATGGACAAAAAGTTGCACACATGAAATGAATGCAGCAAAACATTTTCTCACAGGATGTTTCATGTCTGAATAATGTTTGAAAAGGCTGAGTAACGGTATACTGTTTTCCTACACTGCAGTAGATGGGGTTGTAAATGTCTCGCGCTCCTCGCATTTATGTAAACAATGATGGCAGCTGAGAGAAGAACAGTTTCATAAACATCTGGCAAACAGCACCTCTGCGGCTTGAAATCTCATCTGTTATCCACTCTCCAGTGTGTTCATGTAGCTAGTGTTGTGTTGGATGATGTTATCTGTCTGATTCCCTGAATGAGAAATCCAGGTTGGAGTATGTGGTAAATCGTGACTGGATGCCTGCATTACTCATCAATGGATATATAAAAGTAGTTGTGTTAGCTACTCAGGAGTCCTCATGTCAAGACCTCCCATCTCATTGATTATTTAACCTTATGGTTTTGTTTTGCATTACTTATATCATGTAGTTAACGTGTTGTTGTGATTATATCCTAAGTTCTTTATCTTCATTAGTATCCCTAGACATTTGTTGGTTGCATTGATTGATTGTTCTATGAGTTACATTTTATAATAAATCATTTGCATTCAGGTTATTTTGTTGGTTCATCTCTCTTTTGTGCTGCGACTCAAACAAGCGGGTCATAACACTTTGTAAAATGTGTCCGGTTGTATCTGAGATTTTGTCCTTTCAGTCATGACCATGGGTGACAGTAGGTACTTAGATTACCTTTCGTCTCAGCTCCTTCACCACAACAGACAATCACATTAACTCCATTACCACCCGGCAGCTAGCTCTCTACAACTCTCACATGGCCGCCCACTGAAGCTAAACAGGGCTGTTCCCGGTCAGTACCTGAATGGGAGACCACATGGGAAAGATAGGTTGCTGCCGGAAGTAGTGTTAGTGAGGCCAGCAGGGGGCGCCCAACCTTTGGTCTGTGTGTTTGAGTGACGGGGACGCTATACTGCTCAGTGAACACCGTTTTAAGATGTTAGGTCTCTGTCCATCATGGCCATATTCAATTGGCTTCATCATGTGTGGGCTGGCGCAAAATGGCTGGCGTCGTGTCATCCAGGTGGATGCTACACACTGGTGAAGTGGTGGAGGAGAACCCCCCCATTGTGTAAAGTGCTTTGAGTGCCCAGAAAAGCGCTATATAAATGTAAGGAATTATTAGGGGCCAAGTAGAACGCCTTAGCCTCACAGCAAACATTTTGGTCTACAAGCTGTCACTGCCGTCTTCCCATGAGAGTGGCCACAGGCTCTGTGCTGGCTGCCCCAGAAACTCGATTCACTCCAGAGTAGAACCGAACAACTCCGGCAGGGGCAAACCGCGACTGCACTGCACTGAGAGCAACGCAAAAAATTCCTGAACGAGCCAGCCAGGAGTCGAACCTAGAATCTTCTGATCCTTAGTCAGACGCGTTATCCATTGCGCCACTGGCCCAGTCCATGTGAACATGGAGTTCCTTCAACGCATGCTGTGCTTTGTTGTCATGGCAAGTTGTGGTGTCGATAGGATGCTCTTACACCGAGCATGTGACAGTCCCTCCCAAGAAGAACTGTGATCCAGGCTCTTTGACTTTCTCTTCCCCAGGAGGAGGTTGCAAACGGTAGAGTTATTTTTGTCAGAGCAGCTGCAGCACACCTGGGTGGAGGCCCACAGCTAGACTTGAGGGCAACCTTCAGCCAGACCTTCCCTGGTGGTCTAATGGTTAGGATTTGGCGCTCTCACTGCCGCGGCCCGGGTTCGATTCCCGGTCAGGGAACTTCCTTTTCACCTCCATGCTGAACTTTGAGCAGTGGTGAACTCATTTGGCGAAGGCAAGAAAGCGGCTCTGAGCGCAAAAGATGTCCTTCGAGCCGGAGTCAAACTTGCGACCTAAGGATTGCCATCATCCCACCTACAGTCCTCCTCTCTACCAACTGAGCTATCGAAGGCTTACGGGGCAGTTCCACAACCACATCGTATAAGGTAGCTGCAGTCCGACCGCTGGCCAAAAAGGACAGATGCAAAAGCACTCAAGCCTTCCCATAGCGGGAGTCGAACCCTGGCCGCCTGGGTGAAAACCAGGAATCCTAACCGCTAGACCATTTGGGAACTGCCACTTTGGAAAGCCAGTCTTGGCACAAACTCCAGTTCATTCTGATCGCTGGCACATCCCTGCTCCGCTTGCACAAGTGCCACTCATACACTTACGCACTCTCTCATACACAGTATGCACCACTGGCCCAGTCTGCACTGTGTGACATATTTGCCGACATATAACAGAGACTGAAACATTGCTCACACTTGTCTGAGGTGGTCATTTTGACTGCAATCTTGTTTTAGGTTGGTACTTTGTTTTTGAATCTTGTTGGCTTTCCGAATGTGTATCTGTGCTGCAGTAGAACGCCTTAGCCTCACAGCAAACATTTTGGTCTACAAGCTGTCACTGCTGTCTTCCCAGGAGAGTGGCTGTACTGGTTTCTTCTGAAAGTCCTGAGGGATGTACAGGACCAAGACATGAGAGCAGTTGGGGCAGACTTTGAACCCAGGGGAGCACCCCACAGGCTATGTGCTGGCAGCCCCAGAAACTTGATCCACTCCAAAGTAGAACCAAACAACTCTGGCAGGGGCAAACTGCAACTGCAGTACACTGACTGAGAGCAATAAATCCTAAACGAGCCAGCCAAAAGTTGAATCTAGAATCTTCTGATCAGTTGTCAGACACGTTATCCATTGCGCCACTGGCACACACTGTGCAAGGAGTGGCCATTAGCATGCTGTTTGGAAAGAGGACATGGCCCGGTAAACATGGAGTTCCTTCAACGCATGCTGTGCTTTGTTGTCATGGCAAGTTGTGGTGTCGATAGGATGCTTTTACACAGAGCATGTGACAGTCCCTCTGTAGAAGAACTGTGAACCAGGCTCTGAGACTTTCTCTTCTCCAGGAGGAGGTTGCAAACGTTAGAGTAATTTTTGTCAGAGCAGCTGCAGCACACCTGGGTGGAGGCCCACAGCTAGGCTAGAGGGCAACCTTTAGCCAGGCCTTCCCTGGTGGTCTTGTGGTTAGGACTTAGCGCTCTTACCGCTGTGGCCCGGGTTCAATTCCTGGTCATGGAGCTTCATTTTCACCTCCATGGTAAACTTCGAGCAGTGTTGCCGATGATCTCTTCACGAAAGCAGCTCTGAATGCAAAAGATGTCCTTCGAGCCGCTCTGTAAGACGTAATAAGACTCACTCTGGCACAGACATCCAGTCTGCACGCTGGAATACACGCTATTATCTCATGGTTGAGACGCAGCTTCAAAAATTAGTTTCAAACCGGAAGTACAAATTTGCTTGAAATAACGCAAAAACAACCAATTTACACTTTTTAGTGAAATATTTGTGTCCTAATAGTGTTTTTAGCAGTGTGGGACACATATATGACTGTCAACAGCTCAAAAAATGTGTTTTGGAGTTTCGTGACCCTTTAAGGTACAATTGGTAGATAAAATTGTAGTGAGTGGTGTTAGTGAGGCCAGCAGGGGGCGCCCAACCTGCGGTCTGTGTGGGTCCTAATGCCCCAGTATAGTGACGGGGACTCTATACTGCTCAGTGAGCGCCGTCTTTCGGATGAGACGTTAAACTGAGGTCCTGACTCTCTGTGGTTGTTAAAAATCCCAGGATGTCCTTCGAAAAAGAGTAGGGGTTTAACCCCGGCATCCTGGCCAAATCTGCCCACTGGCCTCTGTCCATCATGGCCTCCTAACCCTCCCCATATCATGATTGGCATATCATCACTCTGTCTCCTCTCCACCAATCAGCTGGTGTGTGGTGTGCGGTCTGGCGCAAAATGGCTGCCGTCGCGTCATCCAGGTGGATGCTGCACACTGGTGGTGGATGAGGAGATTCCCCCCCATTGTGTAAAGCGCTTTGAGTGCCCAGAAAAGCGCTATATAAATGTAACGAATTATTATTATTATTATTAAAATACACAAATGAAAATCTTACTTAGTTCTTCTTTTAACTAAGTATATTTTTTTATGTTTTGTTGTTTTGTCTCAAATTATTTTATGTAGGACACAAATGCCTCAAATGCAGCTTTAACATCATTGGAATAAATTATATTTTAACATATTCAACTGGAAAAGCTAACATATTAAAAAGGAATAATTATTTTTATAGGTTACTTTTATATCTGCATTTTTATAAACTAAAGCAGTTTTGTCCCAAACCTTTGAAAAATAGTCCATGTTGTCTTTATATTTTACTTTATGCTTTCAAAATATGTAATTATGCATTTGAAGTGATATTGTGCTTTTTTGCTACATAGTAGAAGTGAACTAGTTTTGTTTTGTGTTAAAGCCACAATGGCCCTGCATAAAAGTGCTTTACTGAGACCTTATAGGCACATTTTGTGCCTGGACTCAACTTAGTATTAGTGGGACCTTACTATTTTGTTAATTACTAAATGCCCACAGAGCATGCTCACAGGACATACTTCTGATTCAGATAGTATACCTATACTTCGCCCATTGTGGCTATATACACTCCACTTTGTGTGGACTTGCTATGGGCCCAAAGTGAACTTCTGTTTCGAGTGGGCCAGCCCACAGTTTGGTCTAGCGACATTGTATATGTTTTTGGTATAGACATGTTTCTTTGGAAATTTGTGCAGTAATACTGTACACTCAAGTATATGAAGGTGAGCTTTAGCAAACAGCATAATACATTCAAAACTATTGTATAATAGGCTAAGAGAGCCATTAGAAAAGCATATCTTAATTAAGATATAAATTGGATCTCATTGAAATACTGTAGAAATTATCCAAAAGGATTTTTATGTATTGTACTATAAAACAATCCTATAGCAATGGTTCCAAAATATGATCAAAATTCTAATTGAATTCCTTCAAAGAAATCCTATAACATGCTACTTTTTTGTCTGTTTGGCGGTGCCACAAAAAAATTCTGTGAAACCGGTCCAATATACTTTTTGTTCAAGTTGTTTTTTGTTATGTGCGTCAGCAACTCCCTGGAGGCGTATTATAGTTCACAGGCAGTAAAAACAGCCCAGTGGCCTAATGGATAAGGCACCAGTCTTCGAAGCTGGGGATTGTGGGTTCAAGTCCCACCTGGGTTGTCTTTGATGCAGTTCTTATTAAGTTGGCTATGCAGCACAATCCAGTTGACCTTCAAAAAGCTAGGTTCATACCCTTAGGTCAAAA